AAAAAAAAACAAATGTAAAAATTGCTGACGACTGATGCTACAGACACAACCTGGCAACCTGTAAAAGAAGTCTAGAATTGATTAAAACTAGGATCCGTTCAAACAGATACTTGTATATTTATGAGTATCTGTCTGAACAGTTAAAGGAATTGTAAATTTTACGTTAAAATGAGTAAGAGATTTTGAAAGTTTATAAGTCAGTATCGTGAAGTTATGGGTGACATAACATTCTGGAAACGGTTTAATATCTTTTTAACTAAATCCCTTAGAAAATTCAAACCTTTCACATCAACTCACATGTATGAAAACTACTTTTTCCAAGCATTATAATTTTTAAACCTCTACCAGGGGGACGACCCATGAGGAGTAGGTACATAATCTTTAATGTAAGCATAGGTTAAAATGCACATAATTTTAAAGGGTTAGTCAAGTGGAGTTCATTGCCGGAAACCGCGTCTCAAATGGTTCATCCGTTACAAAATGGCGGCTGTCCAAAGTTCTTGTGGAATATACCTGCACAGGCCTTAGTATTGGTAAATACTCGTATTAAACATAAGCTTGAGAGCTGAAACTGGATTTTAAAGTCAACTAGCTCATAGACTTATATTATTCAATCTTCAAAACAAATTTAACCGGGTTTCAGATTTCCCGGCTAATGTTGACTAAGAGTATTTACCAATACTAAGGCCTGTGCAGGTATATTCCACAAGAACTTTGGACTGCCACCATTTTGTAACGGATGAACCTTTTTTGACGCGGTTTTCAGCAATGAACTCCACTTGACTAAAAATGACGTGCATATCAACCTATGCTTACATTAAAGATTATGTACCTACTCCTCATGGGCCGTCCCCTGGTTAAGGTCAAAAAATGGTAATGCTTGCAAAAATTAGTTTTCATACATATAAGTTGATGTGAAAGGTTTGAATTTTCTAACGAATTTAGTTAAAAAGATATCAAGCCGTTTACAGACTTTTTTTTCACCCTGTTTAATGGAAACTAAACTGTTTCTTGCGTGTAAAAGGCGTAGTTTATTGTATTTATTTATAGACAAAAGAGGTTAATTTTTCACAAAAACCTGCCATCACCTATCACTCGCAAGGAAACAGTTTATATAACTCCCACCATATAACTTCACTATACTGACTAATACAATTTAAAAATCTCTAATTCGTTTCAACACAAAACTGTCCATTAAATAATAAGAAATACGATTAGAAGTAGCTAAACGCGTCAAATAACTATATATTATATATTATATTATATAACTATAATAGGCGTATTGTTTGTAGGCCTACTGAAAATGTTTAGGCATATCAGTGTAGTAATGTGATTTTCTGCTTTTACATATTCTGATTAGTTTCTAATTAATCAAACCCCTATTACGCCGTTTGAGGCGAATGTCACAAATATGTGTCTACGCAAACTCCAAGTAAAAGTTCCTTCTTTGATCTTTCACCCCTCAGTTTTCAGGATCTCATTTAAATCACACCACTACATTGACATTATATCTACATTGGCATCATACAACCTATTTTCAGTGGTTCGCATTGTGAACTATTTGAAACTAAAAAATCAAATGTACGCCGATTCATGCTCAAGTAAGTATTATGATACTGCATTATTATCTACTATCAAATTGGAGAATTAGCTACCTTTTATCAGTGATGTTACCATGTAAATGTGATGATGGAGTGTTAACACCGCACAGACATGTACGAGTGAGTGATCCTAAAGCCTTCGCTCTTTAAAGCGTTTTGCTTGACACACCATATGCCATTTCCATATATTCACGCGCAAAGATGACTCAGCTTAATAATACGCGTGAAATAGTTATTTGTGTGCTAAAGTTTCTCTTAAGTTATTTGTGTAGTAAAGTTTCCCTAAAGTTATTTGTGTGGTAAATTTTCTCAATTACAGCAAAGGCAATTTAACTCGTGTTACGCATTATATTTGTCCTACAGTTATCATAAAGCATAGAAATAATTAGTCTTTCAAACACTAAACAACACGTTTTAGGTTAGATTAAATAATTGACTATTGGATACTAAAGTAGACGTCCCATTTATATGGACCAGGTGTAGCCAATTTTTTGTTAAAAAAGAACGTAGTTGTGCGAGCCAGTCACAGAATGCGCTAGTGACTAAAACACTATTTTCTACCTTATTTTATGTTGGTGTCCAAGTTGATGGGTTATAACTGTTCACAATCAGTCATTCCATTAGTTTGAATTTGTAAAAAAGATTGTGTATTTAACAGAAATCAGTAATTTAGATCAGCACAATCCATCAGTAGCTCACATCAACTACGACGATTGAATGTCTGGTTAGTTAATCCAAAAATTGAACGAAATGGGAAACACTGTAACTGCTATTCGTAGTCGTAGTACTCAACTATCACACAAGACCAATGTATTGGACCACATATTGGTCTTATGTGATCGTTGGTAGTGTTGCCAACCTATTTACAAGCGTAGGCCTCCACGGATTACGTGCATAATAAAAGCACGCTGTTTTGTTTTGTTTGGTTGGAATAGTGGTGTGTGGCAAAATAATGAAATGGAGCAATTAGCAACTTTCTGTACAAGGAGGAACACTTTGTCAGGTGACTGTTGGAAAATGTAATTTATTAATAACTCTGTTTTTTTTTGTTTTTTTTTTTTAAATAGCCTCTGGATCGTTATTAAACATTGTTATAATCTACCTTACGATCTAATTGATTGATTGTGGAGACCTAGGTTTCTACATCCATATATCGATGGGTTTCTACGCCGCGCCGTAGCCTTATCGTCAGTCCTAGGCCATAAATCTTTATGTAAATTTAGTGTTTATATTTATAAAAACTCTATCCAACTGACAATATCTCAAGTAAGAGATGAAAAACAATAAGTTTAGCTTAGCCTAGGACTGACGATAACGTTACGGCGTAGAAACCTAACTCTCCACAATAAATCAATTGGATCGTAAGGTACGCCTTAGATTATAACAATAACTCTATTCTTTTTTTAAGAGTACGTCAAAAACACATATAACGGTAAAACCAGATCAATCAGGCGCGTGTCAATGTTGACACACAAGTGATAATTAGTGGCAACACACTCGTACACAGGTACTATGTAGGGTTAGTATCACTGTTAGCTTCTTGTATACATTTTAGGTTAACTTATCTAATTAACAGCTACTGTATAACAATACCCATTAGACTGGAAGAGTAATAATACCATTTTAAATCATTATAAATATCTTTTGTAGCTTTTGTTTTCAAATCCTACCAAATGTAAAAAAATGTAGCTATGCCATGATTCATAAATTCCTTTATGTACTAAATGTTACGCGTAAGCATCGTTGTATAATAAATATGGCATAAGCCTACTCTATTCTCATTTAATATTTGTAAATGTCATGTCACTAGTTTGTAAATTATTTACTAAACATAAATTAGCAAAACCTAAAGGGAAATAAATTGTCAAGCCACAAACCAATTAATCCAGCTGTATAACAACAAGAGCTGTTTACTTCCCGATATTCCTGGTATATAATGAGAGGAATAGTTTATTCTTTCAGGAGAATTTAAAGTTCAATTACGGTTATAAAAGAGCGTACATCGATGAAAGATTGTCCATTTTATTAGTTGTCGTTACAAGAATACAATGAAGTATACAAGTAGTTTAACATCATCTGACAAAAAACAAATTGTTTTTGCGTTTTTCATTTGTGTTGTAAGACTAACTGGTACAATAAAAACTTAGATGAGAGTTGACTCATTTGGTAGAAAATGGTAGTAAAATAGAGACTAGGGATAAAACCCGTCCTGTCAGTTGTTGTGATTAACAAGCTTGCATAGTTACAGCAACCGAAGTTATGTTAAATTTTAGAACTAATAAATATTAATATTTATTATACAATTTAAAACATCACATAAAATTTAAAATCTACCTGTTTGGATTATAAACAAATATTTAAAACTGATCGTGGTTATGTGGTAGTACAGATATACCAATCTACAATCATGGTACGGTTCACACCGATAATTTAAGGATGAGTCATTGGTATTTCTGTTGCTGTTTAGAGGGGTTTCTGCCAAAATCGTTCTAAACACAAAATGAAAAATCTACCTAATTTAAATTCACAAGTTTAATCAATGGTAGTATTATGGCACAAGTTAAATAATAAAATGTAGAATCATTGATGCCTCAAAGTGTTTGGTATAAAAAGGGGGGATTTGAGGGACAACTCAAATATTTTAAAAGAAAACCCCCTGCAAGTGACACCTCATTTTGAAGGGTTTACAAAAACTTAAAGAATGGTGAAAACTAGAGGTCGCTATCTCTTCTCTATCCTTTTTGTAAACACTTCAAAATAAGGTGTCACTTTATGGTGGTTTACATTGAAACATTTTTAGTTGCCCCCAAATCCTCCTTTTTGGGGGGGGGGGGGCACTCAAAACATTTAAATGTAAATCCCCATTTAGTGACACTTCGTTTTGCAGTGCTTACAACAACTTAAAGAATGGTGAAAACCAGAGTTCGCTATCTCTTCTCTATCCAAAATGGTAGCCAATATTACCATTACGAACCAATTTTACTATTGATTTTCCACATCATTTGACGGGCTACCATTTTGGATAGAAAAGAGATAGCGACCTCTAGTTTTCACTAATTAGGTGTCACTTGAAGGGGGTTTGCATTTAAAATATTTGAGTTGCCCCCAAATCCCCCTTTTGGGGGGACACTTAAAAATTTCAAAATCATAAAATGAAACTTCCTGCTAAGATTGCACGACCACCAAAAGGATATCTCTGTATATTTACTTGGAAAAATATTAGATGGGGGGTCTTGACTTTTTATTTACCCTGTATAAACACTGTATTACACTTCTAACCTAATCAAATCAAATCAAATCAAATCGTCTTTATTTCATACTGTACATAAATCAGTACATGGAATGGCGTCAAAACAGAACACTAAAATCAATAAACAAAAAAATATGCGTTTACATCTGCTGGTATATTTAAAATAGCCTATGGTTCTATAAGAAAATGACTGGATCTTTGACGGCCTGTGGGCAGAGCAGGGGAATTTTTTACACTTTCCCACCGTCCTTGGACCTTAAGCTTTAAAGTGAATCCTCAACAGCCATGCTACCTTTTTCCTAGCTCGAGATATTTCGTGGGGACCGAATCGCTTACGGAGTTAAATATATACATTACGGAATTAAATATATAAATACTTTACAAGAGTAGTGTAAATATGATATTGCAATCCATACGCTGTATTGTACAATGTCCATACTTTGTACATTATATACAAATATTACGAACGATAATAAAGTTTACGTGGTTTATTCAATTACGTCTGTAACAGGGCACAAAGTGTCCAAAAATACAGTTAACGACAGTATCATGGATTGATGGATAGTAACAAAACTCAAATACAGTACACACTCTACAACGTGAGAGTATTCCCTATTGTTTTATGACACAGGTACTTCGGTGAAAATATCATTTCATCTTTTAAATGGATAGATTCTTTAAACTAACATTTAAAAAAATAATTGTATATCTTTGTTGAGACTACAAGGTTAAATATAAATTCAACTTTAGAACAATAATAACCATTATGTTACAATAAAACATAAGTAATGGCATTTTTTTAGTAAGTCTGTTAAAATGAAATTGTCCACAACAAACGTGACATTGGTGACTTGACATCAGAGGGTGGAAGCCTTGGTGGTCTGTGGACGGACTCGAGGGGGCGACACCCTGATGACGGGGGCAGGGTCTAGTCGCACCCTGGTAGGAGGGCCGAGCCAAGGGTCCACTCATACCCGCTTCAGCGACGACGTGCTGGTGTAAGTGAGGTTGACATTGCTGTGGCGATGACGTAGGTAGTCACGACGGAACGGACACACGAGTCTCACGAAGGCTCGACGTAGCTCGCGAGATGAGCAGGCGTAGATGAAGGGGTTCAGACAGCTGTTGAAGTAGCCGAGCCAGAACGCCAAGGTGAACGGTAGACCGGACAGGTGACATGAAGAGCAAGCTGCGTCTACAGAACAATAACACTCATTATGTAGCCTACAAATAAGTTAAAAATCAAAATATCTTCTTAGAAATTTGTGATACTATTCAATGACATAAACTCATTATTAGAATACAATCTTACTGGCACATCTCACTTACCGAGTGGAAGAATGATGAAGAAAGGAAGCCAACAAAGGAAAAATCCACCGACGACAATAGCGAGGGACTTTGCTGCTTTCTTTTCTCGTTGGAATTTGACAACACGACCGTCAAGTCCGGGTATGAGGATCCTGGAAGCGTCACTCCCTCTCTGCAGCATCGACTTCCTGTCCAGCGTGCCGTTGGGAGTGTGAGAGTTGCTGCAGGATCCCAGACCCGACGGTGACGTCGAGTAGTACGGATCCTAACAGTCAGAGAAAGAGGGAAAAGTCACATCTTGCTGAAATCACTTTGTATTGATAGAAAACAACACTTTCGGTGTATAAATATAATAGAAATCGTTAATTGACATAAATTATATATAGACACGGAGTTACTTTAAAAAGTATATATCATTCTACATAAACAAAATTATTTTTATTTGATTAGACATTACTGTACATATCTAATGGCAACACACTAGGGTACATATTTTAAGGCAAAAATTAATTAAGATAGTCTAAGCAAACATCACTTAGTTACCCAGCGAAGATGCTATATAATGTACGACTGGCCTTTTTCGTACCTCTAATACAGGTTTGGATAACTTGGTTTAAAGTTTATAATACGTAGGGTTAAGAACCAAACACACCTTGTGTATAACGTCTCCTGTATACGTGATGGTGTGTAGGCTAGCCCGAGGGCGGGAATTGCCTACGTGTACCCGCAGTGTTACGTCAGACCGGGTGACACGGCTGCCGGAGTAGAGCAGACGAGAGTGGCGGGCTGCGGCTCGGTAGACCAGGGTGTAGAGGACCAGAATCACGAGGGCTGGCAGATAGAACGAACCACACGCGGAGAATATCACGTAGCTCAGCTGTTTGTTAACATGACACTCCCAGGGCTGCATCAACTCGTCCCTCCATCCTAGAGGCGGTGCGATGCTGTAACATGACCAATACATAACATAGCTGATTGTTGACGTGACACTCCCAGGGCTGCATCAACTCGTCCCTCCATCCTAGAGGCGGTGCAATGCTGTAACATGATCAATACATAACATAGCTGTTTGTTGACGTGACACTCCCAGGGCTGCTCCAAATCGTTCCTCCATCATAGAGGCGGTGCGATGCTGTAACATGACCAATACATACCGTAGCTGTTTGTTGACGTGACACTCCCAGGGCTGCATCAACTCGTCCCTCCATCCTAGAGGCGGTGCAATGCTGTAACATGATCAATACATAACATAGCTGTTTGTTGACGTGACACTCCCAGGGCTGCTCCAAATCGTTCCTCCATCATAGAGGCGGTGCAATGCTGTAACATGATCAATACATAACGTAGCTGATTGTTGACGTGACACTCCCAGGGCTGCTCCAAATCGTTCCTCCATCATAGAGGCGGTGCAATGCTGTAACATGATCAATACATAACGTAGCTGATTGTTGACGTGACACTCCCAGGGCTGCTCCAAATCGTTCCTCCATCATAGAGGCGGTGCAATGCTGTAACATGATCAATACATAACGTAGCTGATTGTTGACGTGACACTCCCAGGGCTGCATCAACTCGTCCCTCCATCCTAGAGGCGGTGCAATGCTGTAACATGATCAATACATAACGTAGCTGTTTGTTGACGTGACACTCCCAGGGCTGCATCAACTCGTCCCTCCATCCTAGAGGCGGTGCAATGCTGTAACATGATCAATACATACCGTAGCTGTTTGTTGACGTGACACTCCCAGGGCTGCATCAACTCGTCCCTCCATCCTAGAGGCGGTGCGATGCTGAAACATGATCAATACATAACATAGCTGATTGTTGACGTGACACTCCCAGGGCTGCTCCAAATCGTTCCTCCATCATAGAGGCGGTGCGATGCTGTAACATGATCAATACATAACATAGCGGATTGTTGACGTGACACTCCCAGGGCTGCATCAACTCGTCCCTCCATCCTAGAGGCGGTGAAATTCTGTAACATGATCAATACATAACATAGCGGATTGTTGACGTGACACTCCCAGGGCTGCACCTACTCGTCCCTCCATCCTAGAGGCGGTGAAATGCTGTAACATGATCAATACATAACATAGCGGATTGTTGACGTGACACTCCGAGGGCTGCATCAACTCGTCCCTCCATCCTAGAGGCAGTGAAATGCTGTAACATGATCAATACATAACATAGCGGATTGTTGACGTGACACTCCCAGGGCTGCACCTACTCGTCCCTCCATCCTAGAGACGGTGAAATGCTGTAACATGATCAATACATAACATAGCTAAATGTTGACGTGACACTCCCAGGGCTGCATCAACTCGTCCCTCCATCCTAGAGGCGGTGCGATGCTGTAACATGATCAATACATAACATTGCTGATTGTTGACGTGACACTCAAAGGGCTGCACCTACTCGTCCCTCCATCCTAGAGGCGGTGAAATGCTGTAACATGATCAATACATAACATAGCTGATTGTTGACGTGACACTCCCAGGGCTGCACCTACTCGTCCCTCCATCCTAGAGGCGGTGCGATGCTGTAACATGATCAATACATAACATTGCTGATTGTTGACGTGACACTCCCAGGGCTGCACCTACTCGTCCCTCCATCCTAGAGGCGGTGAAATGCTGTAACATTATCAATACATAACATAGCTGTTTGTTGACATGACACTCCCAGGGCTGCATCAACTCGTCCCTCCATCCTAGAGGCGGTGCGATGCTGAAACATGATCAATTCATAACATAGCTGTTTGTTGACGTGACACTCCCAGGGCTGCATCAACTCGTCCCTTCATCCTAGAGGCGGTGAAATGCTGTAGCATGATCAATACATAACATAGCGGATTGTTGACGTGACACTCCCAGGGCTGCACCTACTCGTCCCTCCATCCTAGAGGCGGTGAAATGCTGTAACATGATCAATACATAACATAGCTGATTGTTGACGTGACACTCCCAGGGCTGCATCAACTCGTCCCTCCATCCTAGAGGCGGTGCGATGCTGTAACATGATCAATACATAACATTGCTGATTGTTGACATGACACTCCCAGGGCTGCATCAACTCGTCCCTCCATCCTAGAGGCGGTGCGATGCTGAAACATGATTAATACCTAACAAAGCTGATTGTTGACATGACACTCCCAGGGCTGCATCAACTCGTCCCTCCATCCTAGAGGCGGTGAAATGCTGTAACATGATCAATACATAACATAGCTGTTTGTTGACATGACACTCACAGGGCTGCATCAACTCGTCCCTCCATCCTAGAGGCGGTGCGATGCTGAAACATGATCAATACATAACATAGCTGTTTGTTGACGTGACACTCCCAGGGCTGCATCAACTCGTCCCTCCATCCTAGAGGCGGTGAAATGCTGTAACATGATCAATACATAACATAGCGGATTGTTGACGTGACACTCCCAGGGCTGCACCTACTCGTCCCTCCATCCTAGAGGCGGTGAAATGCTGTAACATGATCAATACATAACATAGCGGATTGTTGACGTGACACTCCGAGGGCTGCATCAACTCGTCCCTCCATCCTAGAGGCAGTGAAATGCTGTAACATGATCAATACATAACATAGCGGATTGTTGACGTGACACTCCCAGGGCTGCACCTACTCGTCCCTCCATCCTAGAGACGGTGAAATGCTGTAACATGATCAATACATAACATAGCTGATTGTTGACGTGACACTCCCAGGGCTGCATCAACTCGTCCCTCCATCCTAGAGGCGGTGCGATGCTGTAACATGATCAATACATAACATTGCTGATTGTTGACGTGACACTCAAAGGGCTGCACCTACTCGTCCCTCCATCCTAGAGGCGGTGAAATGCTGTAACATGATCAATACATAACATAGCTGATTGTTGACGTGACACTCCCAGGGCTGCACCTACTCGTCCCTCCATCCTAGAGGCGGTGCGATGCTGTAACATGATCAATACATAACATTGCTGATTGTTGACGTGACACTCCCAGGGCTGCACCTACTCGTCCCTCCATCCTAGAGGCGGTGAAATGCTGTAACATTATCAATACATAACATAGCTGTTTGTTGACATGACACTCCCAGGGCTGCATCAACTCGTCCCTCCATCCTAGAGGCGGTGCGATGCTGAAACATGATCAATACATAACATAGCTGTTTGTTGACGTGACACTCCCAGGGCTGCATCAACTCGTCCCTCCATCCTAGAGGCGGTGAAATGCTGTAACATGATCAATACATAACATAGCGGATTGTTGACGTGACACTCCCAGGGCTGCACCTACTCGTCCCTCCATCCTAGAGGCGGTGAAATGCTGTAACATGATCAATACATAACATAGCTGATTGTTGACGTGACACTCCCAGGGCTGCATCAACTCGTCCCTCCATCCTAGAGGCGGTGCGATGCTGTAACATGATCAATACATAACATTGCTGATTGTTGACATGACACTCCCAGGGCTGCATCAACTCGTCCCTCCATCCTAGAGGCGGTGCGATGCTGAAACATGATTAATACCTAACAAAGCTGATTGTTGACGTGACACTCCCAGGGCTGCATCAACTCGTCCATCTATCCTAGAGGCGGTGCGATGCTGAAACATGATCAATACATAACATAGCTGATTGTTGACGTGACACTCCCAGGGCTGCACCTACTCGTCCCTCCATCCTAGAGGCGGTGCGATGCTGAAACATGATCAATACATAACATAGCTGATTGTTGACGTGACACTCCCAGGGCTGCATCAACTCGTCCCTCCATCCTAGAGGCGGTGCGATGCTGAAACATGATCAATACATAACATAGCTGATTGTTGACGTGACACTCCCAGGGCTGCACCAACTCTTCCCTCCATCCTAGAGGCGGTGCGATGCTGAAACATGATCAATACATAACATAGCTGATTGTTGACGTGACACTCCCAGGTCTGCATCAACTCGTCCCTCCATCCTAGAGGCGGTGCGATGCTGAAACATGATTAATACCTAACAAAGCTGATTGTTGACGTGACACTCCCAGGGCTGCATCAACTCGACCCTCCATTCTAGAGGCGGTGCGATGCTGAAACATCATAAATACATAGCATTACTCAGCTGTTTGTTGACATGACACTCCCAGGGCTGCATCAACTCGACCCTCCATTCTAGAGGCGGTGCGATGCTGAAACATCATAAATACATAGCATTACTCAGCTGTTTGTTGACATGACACTCCCAGGGCTGCATCAACTCGTCCCTATATCCTAGAGGTAGATGCTGAAACATCCTAAATACATACGCATAACGCATATCCTAGAGTCGTTGCGATGCTGACATATTTTTAGTATTGTTTACAAACTTACTAAGTTTTAACGTTTTTTTACCGATCATCAAAAAAATAATTTAATTTCTTATGATTAAATCCAGTTTTAACAGCTAATTGTTAACCGTAATTAACTAGGGTAATGCAATGCCACATTAAAAATCCATTATAACCCACACACCACGATATAAGTACAATAGATTTTTGTAGCAATTGTCGCTAGTTTGGATTTGTAAGTGATAAAGCATAGCTGTTTTCGAACAAATGAATACATCAAATGAATGAACCTATTGAAACACAACTCAGAACAAAACATTAATTACAGTGGGTTTTCTGACATTTCACTGTCAGAAGTTGTACACCGCCACATTTACAAAACAGGTCAATTTATTAGGGCCTACGGCTTAAATTACAGCAAAGTTAATGGTACAGTTTGCATTAAAAATTGCCTGTGATTTATTTTTTTAAAACATTAATATAATTTTATAAAAACGATGTTCTGGAAAATTTGGTTAAAATAATCTTTAGCTTAATAATATTCCGATTATTTTCGTTTCAATATGCATATTCAAATTAAACTTATTGCGATTGATCTGGTAGGAAACTGTTTATAGAAAAATAACAAAATAACATTTTGGACAGAAACCCCTGTACTTATCGACCAAAAGATTTGTTTTTTTGAGGTTATGTTACATTGAGCTAATGATTATTTAGGTTTATTGTCAACCTAGATCAACGATGTAAAGAACTCCTAGACTCGTAAACACACGCAACATTACAAAACAGGACCACCACCATCGTCAACCACGCCAACTTATTCGTATAACAAATTGGAATATTTTAAATGAAACCATGATTGCGTTTAGAGCAATGAAAGTCAGTTATGTGGAGGGATACGTGTCATGATTATTTGCAAAGTAAACCAGTAAAAACCAAGTCTTTAGAGTAAATAACATTATTTTTATTGAACTTATCAGTTTGACTAAAAACTATTAAGGTCCATAACGATGTTTAAGTTAAAAGGTGGGTAAAGATGTCCCTAGTTTTAAACCTTATGACACAAAGATTGTATTTTTACTCTCGCAATAGGTGGAACTTAGCTTCTTTTACTTTAAATAGTTTAATGACCCGCTTATACCGAGTATTATATTGAGGAAACTACTGTAGCAATAATAAAACAAAGTTGCCAAAATCTAGATCTAGATAAAGCGACGTACGTAAATCCAAGGGGAACTGAGTATTAAATTACACTTGTATACTCCTGACTTGTTATGTCTTGACGTCTGTGTTGATGGGTTTGAACAGCATTCTGTGAGCTTGGAAGATATACCTTGGTGTGTTTTTGTTCACTTTGAAGACTATGATGGTTTCCATAATCTGCTTGAAGCAAATTGGAGTATCGTTTGTTAGGAAACAAATACCAAAATATAGATGGAATTTTATTTTTATTTTTTCTAAAAGGAAGTTTTTCTAAGATATGTTTAACGTTAAATGCGGGAACAAAGATTTCATCAAATTCGATCCCAAAATACTTGGCTTCACTCCCTCGATGCAAATTGCTGCAAAGCATAGTTTGACGATCATCACTGAGGACGATATTAAGGTAGTTACCTGATGGCGAGGGCGAGGGCCCAGATGCCGGCGATGAGGCTATACACTCGACGTTTGCTGATGATGCGAGAGTATGAGAGTGGTCGGGACACTCCGACGTAGCGGTCCACGGAGATACCACAGAGAGAAAGGATGGACGCTGTGCAACACAGCACGTCTAACGTGGTCCAAACAGAACACACCACCGGCCCGAAGATCCACCTACCTACAGACACACTAGATGTGTAAGGGTACAACACTCATTAACGTGGTCCAAACAGAGCACACCACCGGCCCGAAGATCCACCTACCTACAGTCACACTGATGTGTAAGGGTACAACACTCGTTAACGTGGTCCAAACAGAACACACCACCGGCCCGAAGATCCACCTACCTACAGTCACACTGATGTGTAAGGGTACAACACTCGTTAACGTGGTCCAAACAGAACACACCACCGGCCCGAAGATCCACCTACCTACAGTCACACTGATGTGTAAGGGTACAGCACTCGTTAACGTGGTCCAAACAGAACACACCACCAGCCCGAAGATCCACCTACCTACAGTCACACTAGATGTGTAAGGGTACAACACTCGTTAACGTGGTCCAAAAAGAACACACCACCGGCCCGAAGATCCACCTACCTACAGACACACTAGATGTGTAAGGGTACAACACTCGTTAACGTGGTCCAAAAAGAACACACCACCGGCCCGAAGATCCACCTACCTACAGTCACACTAGATGTGTAAGGGTACAACGCTCGTTAATGATGATTATATTGACATCAGTCTAACATTTTAGTACGCTAAAAACAAACTGTACCCGGGACTACACATTAATTCAACAACATGCTGTTGGACGTAAACAACTATATACATTTGCAAATAAACCTATTGCCGTCAAGACAGTTTGTTCTAACTTATACTACCAATTAGAGATACATTTTTGGTATTACTAAAAGCCTCTATAAAAGTTTCCGTGTTCTCTCTAGTAGAACTGTTCTACGACCTCTTTAGATCAGCAATAGTGTTTTGACATAATCAAAAAGTACAGTCTACGCTTTGTAAATTTTAAAATACTTCACCACACTGATGGTTATTAGCATAATTTATGACTTATTTTAATTAAAGTGATTAGTACCTTGGTATAGTTCTTTAGTAGCTGACAACGGCAAGACAGTGGCACCAAGGAGGAAGTCTGCAGTGGCTAAGTTGACGATGAGTAGATGAGTGGGGGTTCGCAGAGCTGGAGTATGCCATACAGCTAGTATCACCAGGAGATTCCCCAGGACTGTGAGCACCACGACTAGCGATAAGACAACAGCCTCCAACATGAGCGCTGGGTCTGTCCATCTTAAGGTCTGACACAGAAGACGAGAATTAATAAAGATAAGTTGTCAGTAAAAACTCAAAAGCTGGAATCTAAAGGCTCTAAACTGGACTGATCTTCTGGATAATTGGCCTTTTTAAGTTTACACGACTATAGAACCGGCTTATCTCAACCTTGCAAATCTATCATCTTATTACTTTGACATTCCTGATTCACTTATCTTCGCCTTGAAATACGCATCCTAGCGCGTCTTTAATAAATAATCTAACTGTAAGATGAATAGCGTGAACACGTTACAAGTTAAAATCTAGAGCAGAGATAGTTTCTAGACCCAGATTCCATTAGTCATTGGGCTTTTAATTGATGATGTTATGCTCAAGTTTTTGAGGGGGCTCCCAGTTGCATTTCATGAAGCTCCCGTACTACAAACAATAGATAATTTGATCTACTGTTTCTTTCAACTAAAATATCGGTTTCATCCTCGATTCTAGTAATATTTTCCAATTATATCTGCAAGGATCCTTACCTCGTTCTCTAGTCCTGCCAGAGAGATGTTGGTAGCTGACGCAGAGTAGTCAGTCCAATTGACGACATCGACCTCCTCTAGCAGTCTTTGGACATCCATAGCTCTTATTTACGCTGTTCCTCCATGGAAAAAACTCGCATGGATTTGGATTTGAAGTACTTTTAGCTAAAATGTATAAAGATAAAAAAATCTAAATGTAAACTTTAAAACAAATTAGGCCTAACACGACCGATTGGGAGTATGTTGAAAATCTTAAAGGAAAGCATAGGCTGATATGTACATAGAACTAAATGTCTTGTTAAACTAAAAACAATGCCACAAACCGGACCTGAAATAGACTACCGAGTAAAAAATGCCGGCCGGTGAAAGATTTCTTGAATCTCCCATATTGAATCTTTAAACGGTTGCCATATTTTACTCAGTTGTTCTTTTTAGCTCAAATTCGCGACATTGTATTCTACTAATCACCTTACATAACCTTAATAACCTTACATTTAATTTGCATATCAACCTATGCTTACGTTCATAATTCCTAATTAATTCTTCCGTCTTCTAGAGGCGCCTCCTGAGGAAGTAGGGTATAATAGCATTCCAAATTCGATAAATCTGTGAACAGCTGTCATTTTTTACTCATTTGAGGTCCGGTTTATGCAATAAATTGGATGCACATATCAACCTATGCTTACCATTAAGATTTTCAACTTACTCCCAATGTGCCGTCCCCCATAGGTGATATCCGATCACCAGTTACACAAAAAGGTACTTAATACTTTAATACTTTTCAATGGGTAGCTTACTATTACCAGTAATGATATGCCAAATTTGGTTGTGATGTCTATTTTTGTTTTAAAGTTATAAATTCGTCCTAAGACTTAATTGTTGTCACCCTGTATATCAAGGCTGTAAATTTATTTGAGATACTTCAGCATTGTCAACAAAAAGTGTTATTATCTAATAAACTTGTGGTACCGGAAACATCGTTTGGATCATGGATCAACAAGAGTGTTTTCCGCCTAGAGTACAAAACATCCGACGGATATGGCAACGATGCAAATGTAAAAATACCCCTGCCACAGCAAACCTGCAGACTAAGCGAATTTCCATCTGCCTGGTTTAATTTTCACTTAAATCTATTTTAAGTACCTAGATTTGCTGCTACAGGGAAGGTAAAAATGTGTGGTTTATTGAAATTTTGATAGCTTAGTGTGGAATAAATTAAATTGCCAAATTTAATTAAAATTTATCCATAAACTATTTTATTTTTCTTCATAAGAATAACATTGGGATTTTAATGTAAATTTTTTTTATTTTCTTCTTCATAGTTAGACATATAACATTGCTTAAATATACTTAATTATTTGTTTTTTAAGCTCTACAAAATGGTTTGGAAAGAAAATGCATAGCTTTATATATGCATATATATGAGAATAAAAATAAGAACACACACACGTATATATATATATATATATTTATTTATTTATATATTTATATATATATATATATAATACAAATAAATCTATTTCTATAAATTTTAACGAAAAATGTTTAACCCTCTAAGGACCTCAAAACGACAAAGGAATTCGGTCCCGGGCCCAGGTCTTACAATTAGACCTACGGTGATAGCTTATTCCCTATAGGGAAGTTCACTAAAACTGGTAATGAGGAGAATTTAGTTTTTAAAGTGTTTAAGCTCCCCCCTTTTTTTTAAACACTTTTAAAACTAAATTCTCCTCATTAATGTTCTAAAATCGATTCAATGATCAAATATTCGCCAGGCTTGGAACAATGCATCGCAAACGCTTATTGAATAACATCACTTTCTTAGCCTAAGCACAGATGGAGTATTTAATGACATTAAACCTAACGTTTTTGTAAATGGAATGAATAAAATAAAGTCCATGAATAAGTTTTAATTTTAAAATCATAATTATTCACCCGTTATAATAAGTATAACTGTTAGGCATATTATTATTGCTGCATTAAGAATACCAGTGGTTTTAAACGAATGGATGAAATGAATTGTCAAAATATTTTACTATAATGAGCTGTATAAATGTTATTCGTCACCTAAAATAACTTTATTTTTATTTATCTTTACTATTATAACATCAAGGTGGTGTTCATCTGTCTGGGCAGCTGTCACGACTTAAATACTAAACCAATAGGTGATTAAACAAAAAATCTAAATCTGAAGAGTTTGAATCTGAATCTGATTACTGTATAATTCATCAAAATATTATTTAATTTTTGTTGATTGAAAACAATAATTAATTACGAGTAAACTTTTTATAAATAATATAAACTTAGCTTTGTTTTCATCAGGGATACATAAACAAATCTAAAGTAATAAATTTTCCTTTCGTATTTGCCGACGGCGGCTACTCACTATAGGTAATCGTCACGTCGCCTTACTTACGTTGCATGATTTATTTTAGTATTTTTACCCTCTATGACATGTTCTATAACAGATTATAACAATTTACTATCACGACTATTTTAGTAAATTAGTTAATTTTAGAAATCTATAGAATTTAAACTATACTCCCGCCGCAGCAAACCTGCAGGCTAAGCGTATTTCCATTTGCGAGGTTGGATCTTCACTAAAATATTCCCTTAAAATTGTCAGCAGATATTGTTTTCTTTTTGAATCACATTAGTTTTAATGATCACTTAGGTTTGCTACTACAGTGAACATAAGGTGGTTTTTAATGAAATGTTAATAGATAAGTATGAAATAAACTAATTTGCCAAATGTTATCAAAATATATCCCTAAACAATCAACCTAAAACAGTTTATTTATCATCAATATGAATATTAGATTGGAAGTATTGGGCGTACAACAACACTGTAATATACCGGAAAAAATTATTTGTTTTAAGCTCTACCAAAAAAAAAAAAATGATGTTTATGGGGTCAAAAATGGGAATATTCCAATTATTCCATAAACCCACATAAATACCTCGTTTTTAAAGTCCAATCATAATGTTTTGCGAACTTGTTCGAATAAACGTATGATTTACACGTTTGTACAGAATTTCATAAAAATCTGATTATTTTTACTACAGTTATCGTTCTAACGGGCATATAATATATAGTAACATAAGTTCATATTAAGAACTTGAATGGATGGTGTTTTTGGCCTTTGGGGATCTCAAAACGAAAAAGTAAATCGGTCCCGAGTCTAGGTCTTACCACGACCTACAGTAATAGGAAATTATAATTTACAGTAATAGGAAACTTTGTATAGGAAATTCGCTTAAAATAAACTAGTTGAAAATAAAAAAATGATTTGGTAATATAAACGTTAGGTTGGGCTTATGATAAAAGGAACTGCATAGTGCATAGTAAGTAATTTCAAGCTAATACGATGACTACCGTTTAATTATGTTCTATGCATAATTCCTTATGTATAATTACTTTATGCATAATTCCTCTATGCATAATAATAAATTAAGTTCTCACATTTCCATCTTTGTATGTTTTGGCAAGTTTGTTATATGTAAAAGAAAACATTTCTCACTTTGAAAAGATATCTGATGTGCACAACTACTGTACTAGATCAAAAGATAATCTGTCTACACTAAGGCATAAGTATACAGCCACTCAAAATAGTTTTGAGTACCAAGGTGTTAAAATGTACAATTTCTTGCCTGCATCCATCAAAAACCTGTGTGTTTTAAAATTCAAACATGCTATAAAAACTACTCTAACCCAGGCTTGCCTGTATAAACATGAAGAGTACTTTGGTTTAGAGTTTTAGATATTTTAGTTGCCAGAGCCATCTTGATTGTTTTGTTTTTATTTTGACGATTGTCATGAACTTTGTACATAGTTTTAACGACAATAAATCATTTCATTTCATTTCATTTCATTTCAATTTTATGCTTAGGTTTATAACCTAATTATGTGCTTTGAGATTATCATACTAATATTATAAATGTGAAAGATTGTGAGTTTGTTTGTTTGTTTGGAGTAAAATCACGCATTAACTACTGGTCGGATTGAGCAGAAATTTGGCATTTATGATAGCTAAGATTCCCGATTAACATATAAGCCTATTCTTATCTAAAAAATCCTATCGGGCTCCTGCCCAGTGGCTCTGGAATTTCCCATGTTAACCTAATGAGTATCTTATACATTAAAACGTGACAGTGTTTTTTTTATTTCACGATTCTGAATCAACCACTTGACGGATTTTCATGATTTTCGTGTTGAAAGAAACATAATTTTGAGAACTAGGAAATGTCAAAGCCATAATTTTAGTTTAGGGTTTCAGTTCTTTAGAAAATAAGTTTACAATTTTATAAAGTCTAGCAGCCGACGCTAACATTCTGCACTAGCTTTTTGTATAATACCATTTGCTTAACGTAACAGCTGTAAACATTAAGCGTGTGTGGCACAAATTCAGTATTTGGATAATAATGACATGCATAGTGTTGACTTATTTATACTATGTGTAATGCTATGCTCATTGATACGTTCATTTATTTCGTAAGAGGATGACAGACTATTTAAATATACATATAGTAAAATATAATATAATATAATATAAAATATAATAGTAAAATGCTAGATGTTCTAATTTATTTTTTTTAAACAGACTTTCAAATTTTTAGTTTGTTTTAGTGCAATATAATTTGTTTTAACTAACAGCAGCTTAAATATAAAAATATAAAAAAAACTATTAGGTTATTTTATTATTCATTGATTATGCCATTGATTATAGGAAATAAGTAAGATTCTTTACAATAAATGTTTTTGTTTAAAATAAATGTTTAACCGCTTAAACTTTGTTTGGATTAGAAATGGAAATATTGATATAACTTCAGTTTTAGTTGAACACTCAATTCCCGTACGGAGAACGGGCCAACAGCTCGTTTAAATTTAAAAGGAATTATTATAGTCAGCTGTTTCAACTAACCAAGTTGGTTCTATGATATTCAATATCATTAATATAAATAACTTCTTGATCAGCATTAATATAATACCCCCGCCGAAGAAAACCTGCCAAATAAGCGAATTTCCATTTGCCAGAATTGATTTTCAATTAAATGCATTTAATTAACATTAGGTTTTATGAATACCTAGGCTTGCTGCTACAGGTAGGATAAAAAAGTGTGTTTTATAAGTAAAATATTAATAACTTAGTATAAAATAAATAAATTTACCAAGTTTGATAAAAATATATCCCTAAACAAGCAAACTACAACATTTTACCTTACAATATTCTCCATAAGAATAACATGGGAATTTTAAAATAAATTTTTGTTTTTAATTTTCTCCGTAACCAATAATTGTACAAAAAGACTTTGATATACTAAATTATTTGGTTTTTTTAAGCTCTTTAAAAAGGTCTGGAGAAAAATTGGGAAATTTTGTGTTTAGAGGGTCAAAAATTATAAAAACCTATTTTTACCCCATAAAACCCCGTTCCCATGGTCCTATCATTCCGGTTCGCGAACTCATTCAAGTTTATCGCGCCTTACACCTTCAAACCAAATTTCATCAAAATCGGACACAAATTACTCATGTTATCGAGTTCACGGACACACACACACATATACAGGGTGTTGAAAATGTCTGGAACCAACAGTATATGGTTAAAGAAAAACAACTGATATTTTGTGTACGGATATACTATGGTTTTACCTATCTTTTGGTGCCTTATGAAATTTTTTACCACTTATAGGGAACGTCCTGTGGAGGATGCAGTAAAAAGTTGTAATGGAAGTCTATGGTAAATGATACATTATTTTAAAGGTAATTTTTTTCTGAGTAAGGAGCCACAAGTTTCATCTCAAAAGGACCACCCTAGCAAAAATGGCGACTGTTTGAAATTTAAAAACATTGCTATTTATATGGTCCGTATTTGTTTCCTTTAAATGCTATTACAAGCCAGTTACGAAGTAGTAACACACAGTAGTTTATAACGTGGTGAACTGAAAAATGACTGAAAAAAACATTTAACTAAATTGTTTGTGTTGTTTTACTAAACTTATTTTTAACAGAAATACCAATTAAGCTTTCAATTATTTTCAAAAACTTCAAACAGTCGCCATTTTCGCTAGGGTGGTCCTTTTGAGATGAAACTTGTGACTCCTTACTCAGAAAAAAATGGCCTTTAAAATGATGTATCATTTACCATAGGCTTCCATTAAAACCTTCTACTGCATCCTCTACAGGACGTTCCCTATAAGTGGGTTTTTAAATTTCAAACAGTCGCCATTTTTGCTAGGGTGGTCCTTTTGAGATGAAACTTGCGGCTCCTTACTCAGAAAAAAACTGGCCTTTAAAATGATGTATCATTTACCACAGGCTTCTATTAAAACTTTTTACTGCATCCTCCACAGGACGTTCCCTATAAGTGGTAAAAAATTTCATAAGGCACCAAAAGATAGGTAAAACCATAGTATATCCATACACAAAATTTCAGTTGATTTTCTTTAACCACTCACCAGATATAATGTTGGTTCCAGACATTTTCAACACCCTGTATATAAAATTTCTATGGTTTTAAGAAATTCTGAATTGGCTCACCAGTTGGTACTGAAAACAAAGTTCCCCTCTGGTTTAAATTTAAGATAGTAAAAAAGTGATTCAACTCAGCTGAATTTTAATTTTCTTTTAGGAAGATTTTATTATTTTCTTTGATCTATACTCAATCATATGTTCTAAAAATTCAACTTTTTGTAAACAGTTCATATTTATTTGTTTGTTTTGTTCATTTTTACATTTTTCATTAATTTATCTTTGCTTGAAAACGTTTGTATTAAACGAAAATTTGCAATGTTTAATGTTTCATTTTATCATAAACTCTATCAAGATCTCAAGAATATATATATATATATATATATATACAAATTTTAACGAATGGTGTTTTTGACCTCTGGGGACTTAAAAATGAACAAGTTTAGTAAATTGGTCCCGGGCCTAGGTGTTACCATGCTACCTACGGTGCAACTTCTCTGTAGGGGGAAATTCGCTAAAAAGTTACAAGGCTTACCAACAGTTTGCAGCACTATTATGTATTTTTTTGCACTATTTTATGATAGGAGCTAATTTAAACTAAGCAGCAACAAAAAGCTGTCATACACAATGAGAACTGTCAAAGTAGGATTGTTTACAGTTATGTTTATGTTTTTAATTTAATAATTGGCGACAAGCATTCAACAGAAAGTGTGTGTTTGGAAATGATGCAATGGAATACGACACAACACTAGACTACAGACAACACAAATTATTAAAAATATATTGAATGGACAGAGAGCATACACTGCAGAGCATTAAAATTTAGATGAACGTGCTGGAATGAGTTGTTCTGCTGGAAATGTTTCTTTACCTGTATTGGAAGAACCTGTATGAAAAAAACTATACCTTGGAGAAACTGAAGAGTCGCGGCATTTTCAGTTTCAAGATTTTATGTTGTGAGATTTTTTGCCAGAGATTACACATATTGTTTTGTGTTAGATGGTTTTAATTTAGTTTTTGAATGTAATTTAATCGCTTAAGAATTTTAATCGAAAAATAACTTATTTTTGTGATAATTGGTGAAGCCACTATGGATAATTATTTGCAAAACCGTAACAGAACTAAAGACATAGACCTCAATGAAAAGATTAAGTAAACAAAAATGAGGAAACTTTCAAGTATCCAGCTGTGTCACCTGTTTTGATTTAGATTGTAATACTCTGATTATTGCTAATGCTCTGTGATGGTTTATACCATCGCAGGCGAAGCGGCGGGTACAAGCTAGTGGTTACTATTTGGGATTTAAAATTGCAACTATAAAGTTACAATACTGTACTACATTTGAAAGTTGTAGTTAGCATCTTTCTTCCAAAAAAGTGTTTTGACCTAAAATCGTTTTTTAACAAGTACTTCATTGTGTAAAAAATTATAAAAATATGTAAAACACATATGCCGTATATTTGGTGATTTAATGTTTAAATAGTTAATTAATGTACATTTAAATCCCGTCGAACCTCACCTGACAAGTTAGGTCAAAAACGAGCGGCTCACTGTGACTGAGCCCCGACTACCCCATCTACTACCCTCTCCGCCCAGACTTGCGCACGCGCACACACCCACACACACACAGATACAGACACCCACGAGCAACCTCCTCACTCCTCAGATATCAAAGTGTTTTTAATTTAAATATTTCTCCTTGTAAAACATAAAGCTGTTGAGGGGGTTGGTGATGTTTGGAGTATTAAATCGAAAGTAATCACCATTCAACATTTTGTTGTATATTCCCTATTATGCTTCGAATTTATTAAGTAGTTACCTTAACGTTTTTACCCCATAAAACCCCGTTCCAATGGTCGGATCAAGCTGGTTCGCAAACTTATTCGAATAAATGTGGGCTTACACTAATGGACACATATTATATAATATGAATTTGAACGGATGGTGTTTTTTTGTCTCTGGACATCAAAACGAAAAAGTGTCTCAGGTTCAGGACTTACCACGAGACCTACGGTAATAGCTTATATAGGAAATTTGCTAAATACAATTTTTGTTATATTTCTTATTGAACGTTCATAAAAATGGACACTGGGCGTTAATGCCTGGAAAAATAAATATATAATTGTTTTCTTTATACCACCTCATGAAGTTATTTGTAGGTTAATAATCATATAAAAGATGTTTAGTAGTCTATCATAAAAAAATAACACAATCATAAAGACTTACCCTTTTGCATCTGCAAATTCAAAAATTTCTGAAAAACACAGTTTTATATTTATAATTTATTTTTATTTTATAAATTTAATTTAATTATATTTATTTAATTTTTTTTGTACTTATATAGCTTTCTTCCATATATTTTATTTTATTATTTCGTTTTTGTTTGTTTTTATGATTTTTTGTATTTTAATTCTATTTTTTAAATTTCATTTGAATAATTGTATTTTTGTTTTTATTTATTTTTGTTTGTTTATGTTTATTTATTGACACCCAATGTCCACAATAATGGACACTTGACTTTGGAAAATTCCTGTGATTTTGTTTCCATAGTTATACGGTGTGTAAATTAAGTATTGAAACAAATCTGTATTTTAAAAACCGAAATAGATAGAAATATTCTGTTTGTGGCAATAATTGTTAACAAAGGTTCCGCAATTTTTTAAATCAAAAATATTTTTTACGCCCCCTAACAGGGTAGGGGGTAGGGGGTGACTTTTTTGTCAAATAGCAACCCCTATTGAGTGACCCCTCATTTTGAAGGGTTTGTTAAAAGAAAAACAATGACGCAACCCCGAGGTAGATATTTCACCCCAAACCTAAATGGCGGGTATTCCAAAATTTAATTTATGCGAAAAAGCACCCATTTTGGAATACCCGCCATTTTGGCTAGGGGTGAGATATTCACCTCGCGTCATTGTGTTTCTTTTGACAAACCCTTCAAAATGAGGGGCCACTCAATAAGGGTTGCTATTTGAAAAAGATAAGTCACCCCCTACCCCCTACGCTGTTAGGGAGGGTAAAAAATATTTTTGATGTAAACAATTGCGGAACCTTAGTTAACAATTATTGCCACAAACAGAATATTTCTATCTAATTCGGTTTTTAAAATACAGATTTGTTTCAATACTTAATTTCCACCCTGTATATACTGTACTATAAATATACTTTATTTATTAAACATTTCACTATTTACCTTTACACTCTTTTCACAACAATTGTTGTAGCTTTAATTTCAATCAATTCACAGCTAAAGTCGGGACCACGAAAGTTTGCAGTTGGCGGCAGCCAATCACAAGACATGTATACATTTTTCCTTCTCATTAATTCTAATTTTGCACACACTAAAGATAAAATTACAAAGTTTGATAATGCTAGGTATTTAAATATTCTAATGGCAGTAAGTGGTTACAAACTAAAATATGACCGTTCAGAGAAGTTATGCGTAGCGATTGTTCAGTCCTTAAATTTGTGGAAACATATTATAGATTTTACCAAATTTTTCTATTGCTTAGTTTAGGGTAGTAATGGCAAAAACTATCAAACCATATAAATGTTTCTGCCCGAGCATTCCCGACGACGCGGAGCACATTTTCATCCGCTGTCCAGGATGGATAGGCCTACGCTCCGCTAACATCTTGGGGTGCTGTCGGTAAAATAGATTTGCGAGACCTTGCTTGAGGGCGATGACAACTGGGACTGCTGGTCGCACTTTGTCCGGAATGTCCTACAAGTTAAAAAGACCGATCTAGATCGGATCACAATCTAGATCGTGTGAGCAATAAACGGCTAGAGCTAGACACAGAGTAGGCAAACTCGGCGTAGTTCTGACGAAGTGCGACAAGTATTCCCAGGGTAGTGTCTAAAGAGTAGAGGAGGTTATTAGTAGGAAGTCTCTGGGTTTTAAGCCCGTTTGAGTCCCACACTACACTCAGCATGGCCCTCGAGCTTGTCCTGCTTACCAAAAGAAATGCTCTAACTGTGGTGTCCTTGGCCACTTCTCTAAGGTATGCCGCTCAAAACCAAATAATCGAGTGAAATCATTAAAAACTGAGGACTCCGATGAACATGGTGAAGTATATTCGATTCAACACTCAGACCAGGTAACATTAATTAGTTCCTTATCTAACGAAAGAAAACAAAAAGCAGGAGATTGGACCGAACTCCTAATACTTCCTAAGAACCAAGAAGTATGTTTCAAATTAGATAATGGAGCTCAATGTAATGTAATAAGTACAACTGTTGCATTAAATAGTAGTTTAGAAATTAATGGTTCTAAGATTAAACATTTGATTTCATACACAAATAACAAGCTACCGGTGCTCGGTGAATGCACTGCAACTGTAGAAACAATTAACAACGACAAAAAGTCAACTTTATTGTAGTTGATGGAAATTATCCAGCGATTTTAGGTCGAGATTCATGTCAGACATTGGGATTTGTTAAAAGGGTACATGAATTACACGCTAGCAATCTTGATGAAAACCTATTCAATGGGATAGGGTGTTTGAACAATTATGAATATGACATTCATATAGGTAGTTGACAATCCTTCACTTAAAATCTATCCAGCTAGGCGAATTCCTTTTGCATTAAGAGAACATGTTAAACGTGAGCTTGATTACATGGTATTGGTAGAGTTACTTATGTTAGTTGGTTGTAGGTTAGTTGGTAGAGTTACTTATGTTAGTTGGTTGTAGGTTAGTTGGTAGAGTTAGTTATGGTTGGTAGAGAACCTACTCCTAGAACCTATCCCCCATGGTTCTTGTACGCCAAAACGACAAGGTCCGAATCTGCTTAGATCCAACCGATTTGAACAAAAATATTAAACGTCGCCATCACCCACTTCAAACTTTAGAAGAAATAGCATCTAGGTTAAATGGCTAAAAGATTTTCACACTCCTAGATTGCAGAAAAGGATTTTGGCAAATTAAGGTTTCTGAGCGTACTTCTAAGTATTTAACTTTTTCAACGCCTTGGGGAAGGTACAGCTACTTATAGCCTCTGCTCCCGAAATATTTCAAGAACGCATGTGATCCATTTTATCAGGCTTAGATGGAGTAGAAGTATCAATGGATGACATTCTTATTCATGGCTCGACCATTAATAGTCTGGAAAAAAGGACTTCCAAAGTTTTCTCTGCTCCCAATATAGCAGGTCTTAAGCTCAACAAGGACAAATGTATTTTCAAAGCACAAGAAATCAAATTCTTGGGACACATAGTTTCTGAAAATGGCCTCCTTCCAGATCCCACTAAGATTGAAGCTATACAAAATCTAAAACAGCCCTCAAATGTAGCCAAGCTACAGCGATATCTTGGCATGGTAACTTACTTGGGTAAATTCATTAATAACTTTTCAAAGTTGACAGAGCCTTTGCGCAAACTACTGAACAAAGGAATAGCCTGGGTTTGGGATTTTGATCAAAAGACAGCATACAAAAAGCTAAATGAAGCTCTTGCGTCACCTCCTTTGCTCCGTTACTTTGAACCAAAACTTCCCATAACATTATCAGTTGATGCAAGCTCACATTCTGTTGCATCAGTGCTCCTACAGGAAAATCGGCCAGTAGCATATTCTTCCAAATCTCTAACTAAAACACAGCAAAGTTACAGCCAGTTAGAGAAAGAGGCTCTAGCAATTTCAGTTGCATGTAAGAAGTTTCACGAATATGTATGGGGATCACAAGGTCTAGTAGTTGAAACTGACCATAAGCCTCTTGAATCGATCTTTAAAAACCCCTTACATGACACCCCTCCAAGAGTTAGGCGTATCGTTATGGAGATAAAACCCTACAATCCAAGAATTGTTTATAAGAAAGGGACAGAATTATATATTGCGGACACACTGAGTAGAGACTGTATAAATCAGGCTACCCCTGAAGAAGAACTTTCTTTTGACTTGGTAATATCCGTGCCAAAAGAAAAACTTAGGAGGCTCAACATCTCACGGAAAAAGAGGCTGAACTCCCCAAACTTAAGCACATCATTCTAAGTAGTTGGCCTAAAGAAAAATCTGAATTCCCAGAAGAGCTACACAAGTATTGTAATTATCGAGATGAACTAGCTGTTCATGAAAATATAATTTTTAAAGGGGGAAAATATTGCTTCCCATGCATCTTCGTCCACTTACACTAAAACAGATCCACCTAGGACACAGAGGAATACAAGACTCACTAAATTTTGCTCGAGAATACGTGTTCTGGCCTAACATGACAAACGAAATCAAAAATTATGTTTTGAACTGCAAAATATGCTCAAAGCTCCAAAAAGATAATAACGAGGAAAAATTATTACAGCAAGAAGTACCTACTAGACCGAGGATGGAAATAGGAACTGAAATTTGTCACCTATCTGGTAAAGATTATCTCGTTGTGTTGCGGATTCCTACTCTGGTTTTTATGACATTGTTGAGTTAAAATCAGATCTACAACATCTTCAAATGTTATTACTGAACTCAAAAAAGTGTTTTCAGTACATGGAATTCCTGAAACGTTATTATCAGATGGAGGTACTCAGTTCAATTCATTCGAGTTCAAAAATTTTGA